CCCAGAAACCCTAAACCCCTGAAGCCCTAAAATCCGAAAAAGAAAAAAAAAAAAAAACACACACACAAGAGAGTTATCACGATGGATATGGTACTTGGGCACATGGCTTTTTGTGTCAGGTGTTGCAGTCTGCATCGCGGGCCTTTCGCCAAAATCCCCACGCCTCCCCAGGCGCTTCAGGCACAGTCCAAGTCGCCGCCGTACCCTCCGAATCCCTGCAAGGGTAGTTGGCAACTGCAAATCTATCTCAACACATGAATCTGCGAACATCCGAGCTATCAGTGCTTCGTTATATGGTTGAAAAGAAGCGCTCCTTGGAGCAACACATCTCCAGAATAGCCGCCTGCAGGGTTCCAAGCATGTCTTGGGAACAAACATATCTGGTGGAGGCCTGTCCCCGGCCACTTTGTCCATGGGCGCGGCATATCTAGCAGAGAGCTCCTTGCCCAAACCTGCAAATGAGGGAACAGGTGACTCGCGATTTTGGTTGGGAAGAAATTTGGAACATTGCCAGCGTCCTGCGTTCTAGAAACTCTTGGCATCCGGCCCAAGACCCTCTGAAACTCCTCACTGGAAGAGTTGTGCCTAGGAGTGGCGGAGTGGCCCAACTAAATGGTCCACGGAACATTGGAACTTAGCTGGGTAGCAGACCCATCTACACATCGAGCCTGAAGCAACCCAAACACATGAAAAATGAGAGCCATCATCATAGCCATGGTAGCCCAAGCCTCTTGAAGCCCAGCCTTGCAGCTGGAGAGTGCTGCCTTTCGTCATGTCTGAACCAGTGAAAAGCGGGACTACTGGCCTGTGGCCTGGTTGAATCCGTGCCTTGACGTTCCCAAGGAACATGGACTTTGAGAACAGCTGCGGAGAGCCTGAGACACTACCCAGTGCATTCCCACCACAACATCCTGCTCTGCCCTGCTCTGCGCCTGCAGCTTGGCCGGAGTATTTCTCCAATCCTCAACTCAGCTAGGCATCGCATACAATCTGGCAGAACAACAGAACAAAACAGAATCTCCGCCCACTGCAGCTTCAGTAGGAATGCAATTTTCAGGGCAGCATTCCGCACAAGAGTTGAATAAAATCAGCTGTGCCACCTGCACGCTGCAAACAGCTTTCGGCGTTTCAACAAATCTGCCCTGCACGATTTCAATGCGTTTGGCGCTTGAGCGAATGGGATGCGAAGTCTGCGAAATCAGGAAGCAGGCCTCGAATAAAGACAGCCTGGAAGACCCTTCCGCAAGTTACCCGAGAAGGAGAGTCGTTCAAAGGAAGTAGGCGCTGACTGCCGTGACTGAAATGACTTCTGCTAGGATATCGTGTCAACGTTTTCCTAAAGTTGCTTTGAAGTGCAGGACTGCAAGGCTAAGTGGCTTCAATGATCAGCAGAACCGGGTGCAAGGATGAAGAACAAGCTTGTACAAAACGCAGAACCGCGCCCGTTCGAAGAGCCTGGCAGCGATGACACTTCCTGCTTTTACTCTGCTGTGTCCAGCGGCGACTTGGTGCATTACCCACTTGTCTCCCTTGCTTGCCGTGCAAGGTGACTGGGGTGGATTAGATCCCTCCTTTGTAAGATGGATAACGAGTTCTCTCTACTTTGGCGTCCTTATGCCTCCTTCCTGCCTCCTTCCGTGCCGTCCTGCACGATTAAGTTGTAAGGCCGAGAGGTGGAAGCCCAAAAAAGGAGACTGGTGTTGGGCAGGATTGTTCACAAGCTCCCCAGAGGGCTGCCATTCAACATCCCCGCTACTTGATCTTCTTTCCTTGTCTCGAGTTTACGATCCTAAAGTGCTCTAGGAGGGATGTCTTTACGATTAACCTTTTGATAACACGGCTTCATCGATGTCTGGTAGATGTGTTCACCCTCAGAGACGAGACCCTGAATGGCGCCAAGCTGCGAACAACCTCGTCCGCCATCAAATGCATCATGGCGCAAGGCATGGATTCATGCACCTGGAAGGGCAGATTGCTGCGTGTGTCTTGTATATAATAGCATAGTAGAGGACAGCATGCAGGTGTCAAAATCTGTGTGTGCACATGCCTGAGTAACTGTGACGAACAAGCCCCTCTGGCACCTGAAGTAGTTGGTCCAGGGCTTGAGCTTCCCTGGCGTTGACAATGCTCACCTCCATGGTCCTCGCTGCACCAGGAATTCGTGACTCCAAGGAGCGGCCAGTCCGCAGACAAAGCGAGGGAGAGAGAGAGAGAGGCAGGAAGAGAGCACGAGGAGGGAGGGGAGGGAGAGGAGGAAAGGTGGTGCGTGAGAAAAAGAGCGCCGGCCGTTGCTTTGCTCGCGGTCTTCGGTTTCGTCGCGCGTAGACCAGCTCCCTCCCAAAATCATTGCTATCACAAGTGCCCTTCAGTGGGCACAGAAGCATAACTTGTATTCATGGCGCCGATGGTTTTTGCAGCCAGCCCGCTCATGATCCGCAATCGGCAGGCCCAGCACAACTAACACCAAAGAAAAGATCTGTAAGTTGAAATTGCGTCCGACACATTTACACATTCCCACTGCCATTCTTCATGACATGCATGCTTCCAAGGCACGAATGGTTGTGAACGTGCCTTGGAGAGGTGAAGCCAGAGAGCCGGCCCAGGACAGTGGCAGCGACACGACGCACAAGGAAGGACTCCTCAACAAACACAACCCTCCGAGGTCGGTGTGGCAGCGGCGGCAGATGGAGCGCAGCCCAATCCAAGAAACGATCCTCAGTTGCAACTGCCGCGCTATGCTAAACAAGGCGGCGTATTGGAGTTTCTCTGCGCAAAATGGAAAAACTTGTTTGGACGTTCACTGCTTTCATGGGTTCAACTAGTACCCCCCTCTATACTACCCCCCCTAGGCTCCCCCCTTAAAAAAGGTTATTCAGTGATAATTAAGCTTAATTAAGGTTCATTAAGAGGGAACCTAGGGGGGTAGTATAGAGGGGGGTTCTAGTTGAACCCATGATGCTTTGAGATCTTTCAAAGACTTGTCCTAAAAGTGGCGGTGTTGAAGCCAGTGTTGCCCACGCATCCGCACTTAGCTCGAAGCTCGGGTGTGGGGCATTCGTTGCAGCTGATGGCAACAACCCGATTTGTGACAATGGTCCCAAGCTCCCCTGGCACCTCCAAAAGCACGAGAAGACTGGCCAGCGTGACGTGGGCTTCTCCGTCCAGCTCGGCAGCACGGATCGAGCTTAGTCGTCCGCGTCCCCCTACCACGATGATTGGGGCATTGCGGGCAGTAGCCTTGCCGCACTCACGGAACACGCGGCATGCTGACGTTTCAAAAAACACAGCTCTTCGACTTAGCGCTGCCAAGTCACTGCCAGCTCCAACACTTTTTTGACTTTGGAGACTCGGTCATACCAGTTTGATAGCACGACTATGGCATCAATAGGTTCCTCGAAATCCGCATGCTTCCACCCGTGGAACTCCTGGCTCAAGAACGTGAATAGCTCGCCGGCATTTTGCACTTCCGACGTTGTAGGCAAAGGTGCCCTGCACGGCTCCTCACCTGAAACAACCCCCAAAGCATTTGCCCACGACAGCTCTTCTGAGAAGCAGTGTTTCACCATCTCTTTTCTTTACTCACGCTAGCAGCTCTAAAGGACTGCAAGCCCAACCTCCCAAATCCTCGGAGCCAGCAGACAGTTTCCGGTATTGCTCGCGCAACCGTGAGAGCTCTGCCTTGAGCGCCGTGCTCTCACTGAAGCCATCAAGAGGACCTTCTCCCTCTGTAGCGCTTAGCCCATGGAGACTCTGCGTGTCGAAGTCTGGGTGCAAAACACGCACCACCTGGGTGCACAAGGTGTACCCAAGTAACTTTCACAGGCCTTCCATTCAGGGATTAGGAGGTTGCACGTCAAATAGAAAGACACATGTCTATGGCAAATCCTGGGCCTGTCTCTGCGTGGCACTACTGAACACGTCCCTGGCATTCAGGACATGACTCCTGCCTTCCCTTCAGCAGGCCTCTATAGAAGCTACACATGCATCCGTTGCTTGCATCCGTGCTGCCAGTGACAATCGTTCCTGGCACTTGTCAGAATCCTTCTCGCACTTATGCTCCAGGCTGTGCAGGTAGCTGTCCTGCAGACCGTGCTGCGCGCATGCTTTAGATAGTTGAGGAGACTACATAGGACCGACGGCCGACCAGCCAAGGCACCTGAAAGCACATCGCCTTTCCTTCCTGCAGCTCTCGACGATCTCCAGCCACGTCCAAAACAGCACCCTGGCCTCCTTTTAGGGTCAAGTGGATATTGATTTGGTTGTTGACTGCGCCACTGTGAGGCCCCACATAGGCACCATCCATGGAACGAAAGAGCACAATCTCCTCGTTGTTGGGGACGACTATCGGGAGACCAGGCTTGGTAGGAATCTCAGGCATAAGGAGATGGCAAGTCCAGGGCATGATCCGACAGACTTCTGTGTTCCAGGTGCGGCCCCTGAAAAGGAAAAGGTTTTGCCAAGATCCTTGAGTGAAAAGGTATGGATATGCTCTCGTCAATTTTGGTGCCACCTCCTTGGCTTCGCTAAGAATTCGGCTTGCATGGGCCTCCAGGGTACGGACGAATGGCCAAGCCTCGGGCGTGCGAAAAAACAACTTACGAATCAGTATGCTTTTTGTATTTTTGTTATCCCCATGTTTGTTATGTTTATCAGTTTATCGTTGTGTTTGTCCTTGCTACGCCAGGTTCTAGAACAGCTCAGCACCTTGTGGCAATCCCAGAACGGCTGCTCACGCAAACCACGCACCCAAACAGTTGGCGTCTGCAGCGCAGAAGGCCAAGGAATGGCGGCCTTTCACGTTTCCACAAGCTGCAAGGATGCTGGAGCTGCATAAGGTTTGCTTGTCTGCATCCCTGGCCTCCTCTTCAGGCAGCATGTCTGGAAACATGCGCGTGGACCCGCGGTATAGCTGGCGCGCACGCTTCCAGACCTGTGTGGCTCCGTCGGCATCACCTGAAGGTGCTGCACCAAAGCTTCAGCCCTCAGACACGAGGATTGAGCCCAGCACCCATACTGAAGAGCTTTTGGATGGCCTGCGGCACCCGCGCGTGAGCAGCAGTTGCATCCTTATAGATCCACCTCTTGCGGCCTAGCTACGATCTTGTACATCTTCTGCGGGCATCTGGATTGAAGCTCGCTCTTGGTCTTGAGCTCTATGATGCAGTCCGGCAACAGCGCCACTGACCTCAGAATGCAGACTGAACAGGGCAGAATGCGCACGGAACTCTTCAACAGAAATCCACTTCTTAAGCCAAAGAGCTCAGAAACCGCAGCAGCCACAGCGTAGTTACCAGCAGAGTTTGGCAGCTCCGCAGCCCAGCTCGCATAGGTGCCTTCAGAAAATCAATCTCTCCTTTTCATGCTGAAAAACCTGCTGCAGACCACCTTAAACTTAAACAAACGGGAGCATAGCATGTCTACCTGCTGGCAACATGTTAAAAGACATAGCCATGTTGGAGGCCTCTGCAGAACCTCAGGCGTTTTCAACACATCCGGTACTTGGTTTGTCAGGTAAGGTGCTCTTTGTGTCGGAGATTAGGTGGCTGATCCCTCAAAGCACAGCGCAGAAGCACATTTTCAACCGCACGTGAAGGGGCTTGCTACGGCTACCTCTGAACCCATAGTCACAGGCAGGATCAGGAGTGCTCACCACTCACAGCACATTAAGGCATGGAGCTGGAATCTTTCCAGAGCTCCCCCAAATCTATGCTGATCCTGCTGGCCGGCGCAAAGACATGAGCCGAGAAAGATGCCATCTCGGAGTCCTTTTGCTCTCTCGCAACCGGCAAGTAGCCGCTCGAGTCCTAGATCTGCCCTCTTGTCCTTGTCGTCGCAGGAGCTCAGTTCTTTCATCATCGATGTGAAGAACTCCTGTACGAAGAAAATGCAGCATCGCGCCATTCTGTTTGGCCAAGTCTGCCTTCGTGTGGCCATCAGCCACCATTCGTTGATGGGGTGTCCACCTGACAAGACCCCAGAATGACTCATCGCATCCACGATCGAGGCGAGTTCCAGAGCAGTCCGCCTGTCCTGGCGGCTCACAGGGTGACGCTTGACAAGAGCATCGTACAAAGATTTGGCATTCGTGATGCCTGCTTGCGGCCCCCGAAGACCATGTCGCGGTACAGCACCTGCACCCACTCCAGTTTTCCAAGGCACTGTGCAAACGAAAGAGTCCCTGAGGCCAGGGTAGAGGTCACCCGTCGCTTCAGCTTCGTGGACCTCCAGGTCAGCACTAACACTCGAAGATGCTCGACGTGAGCCGGCACTTTGTTGCAGCCCAGCACAAGCCACGCGCCTTGCACCGGATCCTCGATCAGGCCGCTGGCGTCGTGGTTCTGAGTGAGGCGGTCCACTCCTCCGAAGTCACTGATGCCAATGAAGCACATCTCCTCGGTGTCGAAGCAGTGCAACTTAATGCCTTGCTTTGCGGTCGAACGGAGATGCCCCACCATTTTGTTCAGGACGATGATGTCGAAGATCTTGGCCTGGGGAAGTCGCGAGCTCCTGATGCTCACCATGCCGGCCGCTTCCGCCCTCGTCTGGTGTGCCACCCAAGAAACCTTGTAGAGCATGGACAGGAAGTCCTCAAACTCCTTCAGAAGAAGTTCAGAGGCCTTTTGGGCCCGTCTGCCGCGGCTCAAGTCAATCGCCTTGACCTTTCAGGACGTACTTTTTTTGATTCATGAGCACCGCGTTCTCCTCCACCTTAACGTGCCTGCCGTTGAAGTCAGCCTCGTTCTTTTCGAACTTACCCAAGACAAACCAGAAGTTCCTCCTCTCGGTCTCCCCGAACCGCCACGTTGAAGTCGTCGACCTCGACCAGAAGCAGCGCCTCCACTCTTTGCCTTGCCGGCTGAGTCATGTGTCATGTCCTGCGTGACGCAGAGACGAAAGCCAAGGTCGTTCTCCTGAGCGGTCTCGGCCCAGTGAACACTGAACCGGTGCATCGTCCAAGCCGTAGACTCGTAGACGGCCACCATCAACTCCACAAGGTCGCCGGGATCAAGCCCAGTTCCCTCGCATGGAGAGGCGAAGAGTTGCCCTCTTGCTCTGGTCAGCTTCTTGCCCTGACAAAAGGCAGAGGTGACGTCGCCAAAGACGACATTCAGTCCCAAGTCCAGGGCCGCCTCGAAGAAAAGGTTGATCACCTCGGACTGATGTGTAGCTGCAAACAGGTTGTCCCCGTCGGGATCGTCTAAGCCCAACACACACCACCGACTGAAGCACCCGACGCCAGGCATCAGCTTTTTCCGCCGGACCATTCGGCTTCGAAGTGTATACTTCTCCCTGAGCCTCTGGGCCTCTGCGCCCTTCCAGACCTTGACTGCGCCCATACCAGTGATGCTGCCCCACTCGGTCTGGTCCCACTTGCTGAAACCCCCTCTCCTCGGCAGCGGCGTGCTTCATGTTGAACTCATCGTTCCGGGCGGCCACGAAGACGCGCAGCTTCAACTCGAAGGCAAAGAGCACCTCCTCGCGGTGTTCTGGGGTCTTAGCGCGTTGCTGCTGTCCACGTCAAATCTGGTCCAGAAACCGCACGTTCTCGAAGGTCAGGAAGTCCATGGTGTAGGCGTTAGTTCCTTCTCGAGGGAGAGGTTCACCAGAGCTTGGCACAGTAGGTTCCGTGGGAGCAGGCCCTCCGGACTCGTTCTCTGCGTGAGGGAGGTCCTCCTCGTTCGGGTTCCTCAACTCCCAGCACGCGCTCCACTCCTCAAAGTGTTCTCGCTGCGCTCGTCTGAATCTGAGGCACAGGTGAACAAGAGCCACGTCGAGCAGGAGGATCTCGTCGGGGTGCCACCGCGGTCTCGGTCTCCACGGGCGTCTTCTCGCGAAGGTCTCGGGTAGAGCTTGCGTCGCCAGGTCCTGGTCCTTCAAGAAGAGGTGCAAGACCTGGTCTCTCACGAAGAAATGCGGAAGCTGGCTCTCATCACCGCGCTCCGTCAAGGCCTCACTATCCTCACTTGGCACGGCGGCGCTCTGAATGGAAATTCTTCGTGGCCTCGATTCTCTCTCGGCCGGCACCTGGTTCTCCACGAGTATTTGTCGAGGACTTTCTTCCGGCTCTTCCACCGGCTCCGTCAGTGGCACATGTTGCACTTCCACAGCCGCGCCGCCGTGCCGCCATGCCCTCATCGCAACCCAGACCGTAGTGCCTTGATGAAGCAACACAAGGCCGGGGCCAGTTATGTTGTGGGTGATCACGGTTGCCGCCTCGTCGCCCTGCTGGTCAATAAAGGCCACGCCAGCGTGTCGCTGAAGTCGTCGTAGACGAGCTGGCACTCCTCCCTCCCATCCCCAGAAAGCAAAAGATCGCCCTGCCTCACGCTGCTTCTCGGCCATCCGGGCAATGAATTAACTCGCCACATTAGCATTGGACGGTGATCTGTGGCGCTCAAGTCCGCCTGACAGGCATAGCAACTGGGGCCTGAACCTTTCGACCAGTCGTTGGAAGACGTCCCTGTCTCGTTCCCGGGAGAAGTTCGACCAGTGCCTCTGGTTGAAGAAGACCACCTCCGCGCCACAGCCGTCGTCTCGTCGAAGGTGCTGCTGGGCGCCGACCTCGAAAACCGTCAGGCGCCTTGCCATCTGAGAAGCAGGCCTCCCATAGGTGTCCTGCAGAAGACGAGTAGCTCTTCGTTTCTTCTTCTCGTTGCCGCTCACCTCCGAGTCCTCGTCAACAAGATCTTGTCCATGAAGATGTCGGGCGAAGGCGGGAGCCTCCCATTGCACCATAGTGCGTCGCTCACCGGTGACCTTGTTCACTCCCTCGATCAAGCGAGCCGACATCTCAGAGGGGCCGTTGGCGTCGAGGAAGGTGCAGAAGTGGTCACCGCCATTGCCCGCGATGATTTGGTTGACCCGACGGCGAAGGACTGCCACCGGATCAACGTTCTCCTCTGATTCGGGTTCTCGCCGAGGACCTGCTGCGTGCCCTGGATGGCCTGCATCGTCTGCACCATGATGGTCATCCCTGCCACCATGGTGGTTGTTCTCCGCCATACCGGCCAGCACCTGTCGGTTGCTCTCTGCCATCGCCGCCTGAAGTTGCTGGTTGTTCTCCGACATCGCCTTTGTCACGGCCGTCACCATCTCCACCACGCCATCCTTGCTGCTGCCCGCCGCGCCCGCTGTCTTGCCATTTTCCTTCTTGCTGGGCGGCCTCGTCCGATGTGGCACGTAGGTCAGAGCTTTGTCAACACATGAGGCACCGAGCCCAGCTGTCATACTGGTTGGCACGGTTGACCACGGAGGTGGAAGGACGGCGGCACTGCAAGCAGGCCTTGCGTCAACAGCTTCCATCGATGCTCGGGCGCCGTCTCCATGAGTCGCAGTCGCAAATTTGCAGAACCTGGGCATGAACATCAAGTGGCGCAACGCAAACTTGGTCACGCACATGTGGGCAAGCTGCAGCAGTGCACAGCGGAACATGCCCATGATGTGGTTCAACAGGACTGCCTACATCCCCTGCGCTGTCACACATGTATACTTCCACGGCAGAACTCTTCAAGGTCTGGTCAAGATTAAAGGCGCCGTCTTCCAGGCCAAGCTCTTCTTTGAGATGAGGAGGCACAGGGAATGCGCCGCCAGGCCAATCAGCCACATCTACAATGCGATGGCCGGATCTGAGTCGCTGCATAGGCTCACTCACGCCAAGCTCCTGGTAGTTCACGGTGTTGCGCATGGACTCGAGAAGGCCCACGGAGAGCAAGTGCGGGACGCCTCCACGGACCACGGTGACTCGAATCACTCCAGGAACTCCAGCCAACCGACATGGAACAACGAACAGCGGTTCCGCCTTGCCTCCCACGCCGTGCGCGGCGGAAGGTTGTCCGTCAAGCCTCAAGCAGCGAAGACCTTGCCCACGAAGTCGTTGGCTCAGCTTTTCAAAGGCCTCGTCGCCGATTAGGTCCTGCGCCGCGCCGATGTCAACGATGGCATGCCCGGCCTCCAAAGTAAAGAGGGAAGTCGAGAGCTCATCACTCAGGTCCTTCTGGCGTTGGCGCTGAAGCACGCGCCGGCGAAGCTCCACGTCCACGTCAAGGAAAGCGCACCACCAAGCCGTCCGCCAGCCGTCGCGCTCGCCGTTCTCCTGCACTTGTCCGACACGTTGCCGCCGCGAAGCTCCTCGTGCTCAATGTCGTCCGCGTTGCCGTCGTTATGCTCGCGAAGCTCCTCAAGCTCGTCGTCGGCCGTGTCCCCGAAGTGGGTGGGGCCAGTCTTCGCCAAGTAGTCCTTGATCGGCGTGTCCGACACGCTGTCTCGTGCACCACGTCGTCCGTGTCGACATCGCCGTGCCCGCGATCGTCGTTGGCCGTGCCCTCGAAGTCGGCGAGGCCAGTCTTCACCAAGTAGTCCTTAATCCGCGCCTCCGGGGCCTGCACCAGGAAGTTAGCCGTCGTGCCCCTCAACGTTGCCGAAGTAGACGAAGAAATCGGCCTTCTTGGCCGCACCTCCGGCCACGCCACTGCCCTTTGTTCCGGTCCTCCTTCGAGCCGTATGGATTCTTGCACTCGGCTTTCCGGCGTCCGCAATCGCCGCAATTTGCGCAGCGGGCGCGGTCCTTAGGCGCGGACGCTCTCCACGTTCAAGAATCCGGCGACTCTTCTTTTGAGCCTGCCTGCGCTCCTTGTTCTCCTTCCAGGTTCGGCGCTTCTCGCGCCCTTTGTTCTCGCCCATCTCCTTCTCGAAAGCCACCAGCATCTCGATCACCTTGTCCTCGTCGACGTCATCCACCTCCGCCAAGAAGCACTCGACCTGGTCCTCGTAAAGCGCGAGGGAGATGAGGAGCCGTCGTCCGACTCGTCCTCGGTGATGCCGGTGAAAAGCGAGGCCTTGCCCTTGGTAAGTGGTTCCTCCTCAACATCAAGCATCTTCAAGCTATTGAGAACCCGGTCATAGTCCACAGAGCCACCCGTAAGAGTGCGCAAGTTCTGGGTGCCCTGCCTAAAGAGACCAGAAGTCTCCTCGGACGGAATCGTGAGGTACCGACCCGCTCCAGCAAGCTCTTGCTCGCGCCTGGCTGCGAACTGCGAAAGGGTCTCGTCGCGCTTCCTTGCCCCATCAAAGAGCGCAGCTCGAACAACTCGTCGCTTCTCCGAGGCGTCCTTCTCGCCAGCAATGGCATCCAGAATCTTGAGGACCGTGTCCAAGTAGGCAGGGCTCGCCAGGACTTCCTCCGCCACGTGCTCGAGGCGGCTCTGGAGATCCCAGGCAGGTTGCTTGCTGAGCGTCTCAAAGCGGCCGCCACACAGGGACATCAGTGTTTGAGTCCCACCTCCACAGTGACTTCTACCACAAGCGGTAGCTGGTTCAGCCACCCCAACAAGGTGGATCGCTGTAGTCCCCTTTGCTTGGCTCCTTTGCTTTGGCTCCAGCTTCCCCACCTCCAGGTGCTGTCCTGCTGCCGCCCATCTTGGCCCCAGCCACCTGAGCCCCAGGACTGGCCCCAGCGCCTGTCACTCCAGGTGGACTCTCTCCTTGAACAAGTCGGCGCGCGAATCTGTCTCAGATTCGGTCCATGGCCGTCATCCAAGTCGTCGTCCTCCTCGCCATCCGCTCGTGCAGTTGCATGCGCGGTCGCCGACCAAGTAGGCCAAGATGAAGTCGTAGCTTCGCCCCTTCCCCACTGCGTAGTCTCAGCGCCTTGTGTTTGCCAGCCACCTGACATGTCAAGCAAAGCTCGGCCCCGGACCCCAGTCCGAGGCTCCGCTACCACCTGTCGGAGACTAGGTGGCTGATCCCTCAAGGCGCAGCGCAGAAGCACATTTTCAACCACACGTGAAGGGGCTTGCTACGGCTACCTCTGAGCCCATGCCATAGTCATAGGCAGGATCAGGAGCGCTCACCACTCACAACACACTAAGGCATGGAGCTGGAATCTTTCCACAGTTGCACCTCACGCTTTGGAGGTCTGTGCTTGCAGGCACTGTGATGCACAGGTCGTTAACATTGTCTCCGTGCTCGAATGTGCGGCCATGGGGCTGGCAGCATTAAAGCTGATCGCAGCCATGTGCTCCCGGATGTGCTGCAGTAGAGCAGCACGTCTTCCCGAAGACTCCTAGACTGGACACGGGCAACCGGTAACTATGATGGTCAGTGTCAAGGTGGCTTCCTGCCTCCCAGGTGCCAGCCCATCGTTGCAGCTGGGCTTTGACCTCCGAAGCATGCTCCTCCTGCACCGTCTCCTCAAAGGTGAAGGTTTTACTTCATTTGCTCTGTGTTCATGCGGGCTGGCATTTGGTCTTGACAGTCTCCTCTGCACATGATAGCGTTGCCGAAGCCACCCACAAAGCATGCAACGCAGACAACGGCATGCCTTCTACTCAAATGATTGTGCGTGATCAAAGATATTAAGGCATGAGTTCAAGGAAGGACGACGTAACACGGGCTTGGCCCGTCGTGAGTTTGCTGCGCAGGCATCATGAATCAAGCTACCGCACTGTCTCACTCGGATATGGTAGTCAACCTAAGGGCATGCTTCATGCGTGGCTTGATGTAAGCTGTGCTTCCGGATGCAGCGTCATATGAAGGAAGTACTTGGCGACGCGGCGACGATTTGAAATACGACTGTACAGCACGCAAACATCCACGCGTACGTCCCAGAAGCTGCAGACAGGCTTTTGATGCCAGGTGGAGCCGGAGGTCCTTCCCTCGCTCTTCCCAGATGACCTCGGCCACTTGGCTGCCACTGCACCACTCTCGAAGAGCTTGAAAGAGTAATCACCGAGTCAAATCCAGGTGCCTGGCTGGCTCTCGGATTCTGACTCGAAATCCAGATCCTGCGCCTGGGTTCAAGGTCCACAGCTCCCCAACTATACCTTGAAAGGGGTGAAAGGCGTACTGCCGCTGCTACCCTGGGATTCTGAGGATCTGTAGGTCTCCGCGCAAATCCCACAGCACAGCTGTCAATTCGCGGTTTCATCTGACATCCCGCGCTTGCTTGGTCTTTGGTCTTTCAGACAGCCAAAGCTTGGAAACTGGGTTCACCCACTTCATCACAAACCTAACCTAACCTTGCTGCAAGGTACTTACCATCATTGAACACAATTGAGGTTGTCCCTAAGAGCGTGGCAAGCGCATCAAACCGCGCTGCGATCTCCAGCCCGGATGGTGCCTTGGGCAATCTACCGTAATCTACCTTGTTTTCGAACGGCAGCCCTTGCACTGCTTGCAGTGCTTGCAGTGCTTGCACTGCTTGCACTGCTTGCACCTGCCTCTGTGTCAACTTGAGCTTCATCCTTGCGAGCCTTGAAATTTCACACCAAAAGGCGACTTGATGCGGTTTTCGGAACGATGAAAGAAGAGCACCTTCTTGTGCTTCTTCTTGCGGCGACCTGGGCAAACATCGTCCAAAAGCAGCTGCGCGCGTGCTGAAAGCTTTACAGTGCTACGACATGCTGTTTTTGTGAAACGCGGCGATATTGCACTCAATTCCTCCAGACGGCCGGGGGCTTGGCTTCGGCTCCTGCTGGCCTTGTAAGATACATGCTTCAATCTGCGTCATCATCTGTTTCATCATCATTCGTATCTCTTTGTCTTGCAGACTTTGGACTTGCCTTTAAGTCTCAACCCAGTGGCCTTCTTGGACTTGCGGCGCTTCCGACTACGGTCGCCTCAGTTCACGTCCCAGGCGTGCGAGAGTGCAACCAAGCGTCCAGGTGGCTCCGGGCGCGCATGTGTTCCGTGTGGCTTCAGGGGCCCATTGACCTGGCAGTGCCATGATGAAAGGCAAACCAAATGCAGAATGAGGCCGACCGCTGCAGCAGACCTCGGAAAAGAAGACACAAGGCTGACTGGTCAACATCTGCACAAACGAGGGACTGCAGGAATCAGGTCCCTGCATCCAAGGGTCCCAGGCGCTTCGAGACCTCTCAGAACGAGATGGTCCAATGATTCCAATGATTGCAACGGTGCCATGAGGTGTGGTTTTGTTACAATAAAGCATCATGCAAGCATGCATCAAAACAGAGAATGATTCCCGAAGCACGACGCGAAAAAAGGCAGTTTTCGCAGGGCCTTCGCTGTTGCTACCATTACTGACTGTCAGGAACAGTCTTGGCTGAACCGGGCTTATTGAGAAGCGACTTTGTGCCAAATGCTTCCTACTCATTCCAAGGGGTTCAGGTGCTAAACCGCTGGGAGAAATGCGCTAGAGGCAAAGGTTCTGCTCAGAAAAACTGCTCAAGAATACAGAGTCGGCTGGCTTCCGGTACATGGAATGAGTACGAACAGCAAGCATGGCAAGCATGGCAAGCAGGAGCTTGGGAGGTGAGGCCCTGGCCACCCAAAACCTCTGTGCCTCAAAGCTCACAGCTTTCTAGCAAGGTTGGCGCAGGACAAATCTCCGGAGCAAACTGAATAACTGAGCTCAGAGCATTGGAGGTGGTGCATAACCAAACGGGAACGTCGGCGGTGGGTACTGAGCCTAAATGCAGGGGAAGCTAGTCCAGGGGCTGTATCAGTGCATAGAGTGGTCAATCGGGAAAATGAAAAGGAAGATGGAAACTACCATGTTTTTCATGGTTCAGGGTTTAGGTCAGAGCTCTCTCACATGCAGCTCAGTGTCCGGAAGGAACGCTGGCGGCTCTGGAGGGAATGAAGAGTCATTCCGTTGAGCCTCTCCAACAAAAAAGGCCATCCACAGCCCGCACTGAGCAGATCAGGGCATCCAGAAATATCGCTTATCGCTTATCACTTATGAAAGAGGCATCCGTCGACCGTCATACAAAGGAATCCCTGCACACCTCTTTCTGGACATGCTCAGCACTGGGATGGGCCTCTGCAACTCTCTTTACGTCTGCGCGTGAGAACTCTGGTGCAGGCACCGCTGCCGTTGCAGGCGATTTGGACCTGGAAGCCTGGCAGTCTGGACAAAGCGCTGATAGCCTATGCATGAGGGACTTCTATGCTGCTTGCACGAGATAGAATGCAAGTGCTTTCGCATCAGCCAAAGAGCCATGCGCCCATTTCATATCTCGAATTTCTTCCCTGACGTGCGCCTAAAGCGGGGTTTCTTCCAGGTTGCAGCCTCAGCCCTCGGCAATTGCNNCCCCCCCCCCCCCCTCACCTCAGCAAATGATCTGTTTCCAGAAAACCTGCGCAGACTCAGGCCACACAACACATGTCACGGTTCCTCTTACGGGACTGCGCTGAACGGAACAAGCATCTTCCATCAAGAGGCACCTTCATGAAATGAGGCTACCCATACCAGAAAAACTTGGAGGAGGTTCTGCCAAAAATCCGCCGACAACCACAAACCAGTCCCTCCAATCCCGGGCCTTTGCCAGCACGATCGAAGAACTTTGGGCCTACCATGGGACACCCTTAATTCACATGAGTGCCTCCAGGAAATATACATACATTTTCAGCAATTTGTTTTGATAGGCTGGACGTCAACTTCTTTAACTGCTATGTGCTGCAAAGCTTGAGGACCTATGATCTGCGTATGTTTGAACTCTGGAAGCGTCAACATGCACCCAACGTTTTGGGATCTAGCGTTCAAGCCTTGGTCCTCCTAACAGGAGCCCAGCTTCCTGCAGACAGCGAATTATTTGAGGATCTCATGTTTGAGCTTCGGACTGCTTTATGGACATAACAACTTCGGGACTGAACCTTTGAGCTTTGTGGTCTTCTACCTTTTTTGCGGTGCATGTCTTCTGCTTCGCTATCTTCTGCAAAGGCTGTGGGATACATGAGTTCAACGAGAGGCTTTCCACAGACGGACGCAGAATTGGGATACATGAATTTTGTCTTGTTTCCAGCCTTGTGGCCATCCGAGTCTCGCATCTTCCCAAAATTCTACTGATCATGACACTACGTATCTCTGGTGAACTTCTGGGCCTGCTTCCCTTCGTTGTGAAAAACATAAATGCACGGAGACTGAGGGTATGCGGAAGTATGTTTTGGGTCTGCAACGGAAACATGCGAAGTTTCTGCGCCTGCATGGGTTGGGTTCCGATGCACTTGAATACTGAACGTCATGACTTCACGAACAAAAAAGCGGTGTCTTCGCTTTTGCGCTTTTGAGGCTTGAAGCCTGGAAGCATGTTGTGAGCCTGTTTTGCGCTTTGCTGTGACCAAACCAGCACAGACGGCGGTGGTGAGACAAAGGAGGACACAGTCCCAACCAAAAGCATCGAGCCCACTGGCGGCTGCACGCATTGCTCTTTCAGAGCTAATTGTGCAGCAATATGCGTATGTCTCCATGCTGTGAGATTAAACGCCATCAGTCTCAAACCTCAGGAAATGTCTTGCACGTCGGCAGGAGATCCTTCGACCAATACAACAGCGATCCTGCTCCCACTGTGGGAATCCCACTGCGAAAGCATGAAAAGCAATCACTTGCATGGGCCATGGCTGCACAATATGGCGTGTGAGGGACTAATGTTGGACTGGGTTTAAACTGTATCCCCTCCCTCACAGTGGGGCCGCCGGAAAAATCAAAATTAAGGACTCTGAATAAGGGTTCTGTTTCAGGTAGTACGGGTCTGGGGAATAAATTAGAGAGGATTTCTGAAGGCTTTGGCGATTCTCGAACTGAGGATGACTAAGGGTTTGGGGAACAAAATATAAAGGATTTCTGAGGGCTCTGGGGAGAATCAAATTGAGGATGACTAAGGGCTTGGGCAACAAATTACAAAGGATTTTTGAGGGCTTTGTGGATTTTAAGGAATGAGGATGATTGAGGACATGCCAAGGACCATGAGCACTTGAAGCTCGCAGCTTAGTGCCTGTTTTCCCCTCAAACACGTCCGGAGGTTCACTAAGATTCTGGGCAGTGTTCATAAATTCGGGTTTTGCTTTGCCTTACCCTCTGTTAAACCCTCAAAAATTAAACCCCTGACCCTAAACCTTTAGGCTGCCTGCACCGCCCTTTTACTCCCAGGCGGCCGAAGCTTGTCGAAGCTGGGGCTGAGCCTAGCAAAGTTTTTGCCAAGGCGACCACAAGGTCGACCCTCTCCTGGCCAAAAGAGGGGCCTACAGGGCCTACAGCCTGGTTGGACCCTGCCCCTTACTTTACGAAGTGAAACGTTTCTACCTCCCCTTCAAGGCGTTTTGAGGACAAATCTTCGCTGCAGGGGGAAATCCTCTGCTTCGCCCTGGGGGGGCAGGTGGGACCCGAAAAGGTCTACAGCAGAAACGCCTAAAGCACGATCGCCCTCGATCCGCATAGCTTTTCCTGTCTGCAGTTTCGCCACACGTCCACCGTAGGACCTAGCGTAAATATCTGACCCTTCAGGTTTCCACCTGCCTAGCAGATCCTTCTCGGGCGACTGCACCCCTATAATAGCTAAGGCTGTCGGCAGGACCTTTCTCTCGGGGAGCTCCGTCCAGAAGCCTTGCACCATGCCAGGGATCTGTAGCCTCGATAGCAGTGCTCCCGTGGCAACCATTGCGTCGCCATAGCTAGCCATCTTTTTGCCGAAGCTGGCATAGTCACTCCTCGACCTAGGAAGCAAGCAGTCCCGCTTGTAATTAGCCAGCTGCTTTAACAAGTTGAGGCCAGTTCTCTAGCCAGAGGCGGTCCTCGTAGAACGCTACATCGCTAACACAGACGGGCAACTCCTTGACCCTCTTTGTTGGGCCTGAGGTCGTTGTCTTCCGCAGTATCGTAGCTAGCCTACCCTCCGTTAGCCGCAAGTCTGCAGGCTTGATCGCCTGCAGATCCGACCAACGGAGGCAGGCACATATCTCCAGTAGCTTTATCCAAGCGAAAACTCTCGATACCGTAGCCTCGCCCTCATCTAGCAAGAATCTCTCCATCTTCACCAGAAGCAGCGTGGGACAGCGAGGAGCTCTTTTAGTTAGCGGAGCGCCCTCTGAAAGGGCTTCCACTGTCTTATCTTTCGCTGCCCAGGCCAGGCGGCCATAGCTAGCACAGTCCGCCTCGGGGAACTCCGCCACAGCCTCTTGCCAGCGGATAGCTTTCATGATCGCGTCCGGGACCGAGCGTCCACGCGGCTCGTCCTTCCTCGCTAACAGGTAGAGGCGAGCCAGGTGGTAGTTTCAGCTTGATCTCCTGGAGGTACATCCTCCAGAGTCTGTATATCCCCACATAGCGCTTTAGCGTATTGGGGTGGGTGCTCCCCGCCAGCTTCTCCAAGACCGGAGCATCGGCCGCCCGTAGCTCTTCCACGAGCTTCTTCGTCCAAACTTCTTGTAGCCAGGATTCTCTCGCAGCTAGTTCCTGTCCATCTTGTACTAATGTTTTAGCTTTGATGCCCGGAGGCGGACGGGTCTCCTCCACGCAGATGGGACCACATCTAGGGGTGGGGGCTAGCAGGTGCCAGGCGATGTCGTCAGCTAGCAGTCCACTAGCTCTTTGTAATAGGCCGGCTTCGGCCTTAGCTCCCTGGATCCAGATTGCTAGCGCCTCCACCATCGCTTCGGAGAAGGGGAGGTTTAGCTCGAAAGCAAGCTGCTTTGCGATATCTTCGCTATCGCTAACTTCCAGAGTAGCAAGTTCCAAGGGGCCAAACCCCTGGGATTCTAGGTGCCGATAGCACCCATCTAGCAATGCCTCCATGGCAACCAACGAGCGAGGGCCTAGCCCTCGTTTCCTTTCCTCCCACAACTTAAACTTTCCCCTCCTTAACGTAAGGGGCTTGAATACAAAATGGCAACGGACGTATAGCAAATATCTTGCCGTATCCAAAACCTCCAAGCGTTTAGCATGTACAAAGAAAGGTTTCTCAAAGCAAGGTTTTGATTGCGAAGCACCTTCGATGCTTTCGCTAGGAAGTAAGTTTAGCTAACACACACGGTCGTCCCTCGTACCTCGTTACGAGTGCGTGCTTTTAAGGTTGGGATCAGGCCTGAGAATGAGCTCCAGTTCAGTCAGGTGTCTTTGACCTCAGGTCTTGCCAATACTGTGAGGCGCAAACTCAGGTCTACTTAGGCCGACTTCCCTGGCAGACCAAGTGTTGTAAGTGCAAGTCCTCTTGAGGTCATCTAAGGGATGGTTCAGGCTTTGCCCTGAAGGTGCCCTGAGGCACACTAAGGGCCAGGGTCAGACTGCTGAGGAGGAGGAAAGCTCTGAAGAGGATGGCTGGGAAAAACTGGCTAAGATCTGTAAGCATTACCTGAGTGGTTTTTTGCTAATGCCGGGCGCGCTCTGGCTCTGCGCGCATAGGCGCCGCTACTGCTGGCTGTACCTGAGTGCTTGGGAGGCTGAGCTTGAGGCTAAGACTAAGACAGCCATGCTCAGGGGCCATCCTAAGCACCATGTCAGGAGGTTTGTGCCAACAGGCGCAATTTTTTGCTCCTGAGGTCAGGCCTGATGGGTGCTCAGGCTGACATTGGAAGGATCTTCAACAGGGCTGAGGAGCTTAAGGCCAAGGTTGGGGCCTCTCAGGCAATTGCTGAGGAGAACACGGCTGAGATCAAGGCTAAGGAAGAAGAGTTCGTCAGGAGGATTGACCTGTTTGAAGCATCTAGGAAGACCTCCAAGAACAAGGTCAAACCTGAGGCATCAAGTTCAGCATCCTCTTCAAGTCAGGCACTTGACTTAAGTTTTTTTTGCTAGCGCACTGTCGCACCGCTCAAGTTAGTGTTGTAGCTCATCCGATATTCAGACGAAACAGCAATGTGAGACACGCTCATGTACCTTCAAACAAGTGCAGTTAGCAATTCCAACGACAGACCAAGCTATAGCATGCACAGATCTGTCACAGGGGCAATTGCTGCTGACCAGTCTCCTGACAGTATCAGACACAAACTATTGATGACAACAGCATGATGGTACGCAAGTTCCATTGACGCCGGAGAATCAGAACCGAATGGTGGAGAAGTGTCTCCACGCATGCACTTCAGAAAAGAAGGTTCATCACGTATCTCCATCAGTCACGTCAGTAATCAACTCGGCTCCGCAAAATGGGTCATCATAGTCACACCAAGGTGAGACTGAATCTCATCATGTCATCATGCACCGAGTCGACAGAGAACAAGCATACAACACGCCGTTCATTTCCACTTGCACACACCAAGAGCAGCTCCACCTCAGTCAGATCTCACAAGGCCAAAACAGCTCCCCTCGCAGAGAGGTCATCGCCATCACAACGCAAAAGCCGCAGGTCGTGAGGCCAAGCATGCACCTGACACTGACAGGGACAAGATTGAATTAAGTGCCCTCAGCATCTCTGAACAGGAGGCCTACTTGAAGCAGAGGCAGTGGGCAGCACCGGCGAGGATGGCAATTGAGGCCACTGCCCATCTGAGGCTTTTTAAGCTGCACTTAGGCTCATCCTGAGAGAGCTTAGTTTGCCCACTTAGGCCACGCTTAAGCAGTATTGCTTGCTGCTGGACAAAA